AAACGGTGTGAGGCCGGCAAAAATCATACAAACCTTAAATTTACTGAAGAGCACCATCTATGATGTAGTTAACTATTACAAAAAAAATAGAGAGATAAAACCTTTTTCTCACCCCGGGGTAGTACCTAAAATAACTGAACATGGTACCTGCCACCTTATACGCCTTTTGAAAAGTGATAAAAAGGCTGGTTTGAACGTTTTGACAAATAATTTTGTGGAATTAACCTCTATCGAGGTGTCTACACATACCATACAATATCACTTTCATGAAGAAGAGTTTTTTGGCTGGGTTGAAAAAAGAAAACTATTCATAAAAGAAGACAATGTCAAGCTTCATTTGAAGTGGACCGAAGATCGAGAACACTAGAATAGAAGGTGGAAAAATGTTGTTTGGAGTGATGAATTACAGTTTGAAGTGTTTAGAGGGGATAGTCGTACATATGTTTGGAAGAAACCAAAAGAAAAATATGATATAGATTGTTTGGTTCCTACGTTTAGGTCAGGAAGAAGGGACATAATGGTTTGGGGTTGCTTTAGTTACTATGGTTCCAGATTTTTGGTTCAGGTTTTGGTAATATGAATTCGGAGGACTATGCCAAGATTCTTTATGATTGTTTGATACCTTTTTTAGACAGTCTAGATAGTATTGTTGGAGAAAAAACTATCTATTCCAAAGTGGCAATATGACAATCCACACTTCAACTTTTATCATGGATTGGCTTGAAGAAAATGATATTGATGAACTTCCTTGGCCTGCAATGAGCCCCGATCTCAATCCTATCAAACATCTTTGGGATGAATTGGAGTGCCGAATTCGTAAGCATAATCCTCTGCCAAGCAGTGAGTTAGAACTATTCAATTTCTTGCAGGAGGAATAGTTTAAGATTGATGGTTTAATTTTTAGAAATTTTGTTGAAAGCATGCCTTGTCATGTTTGTGCTGTAATTGATGCTAAAGGATACCTGATGCAGTATTAATAATTGTAAATAAAAATTTATTTTTATAACTATTAAATAAAAAAAAATCAACCCGGATTATTAAATGGGTTGTCGATAAATTGCAGTTGTAAAAACCTGTAAAAAAAATGATCATCATTTTGTAATTACAAAATTCCGGTGATCAATGTCAGGGGAGTGTACTAGTCATTGTTGTTAGCTGTTAGGATTAAGTTTAAATTAAAGTTGGTGCAATTTATAAAAAAAATTGTCAGTATAATATATTGTCTACAAAATAAATTTGTCTGTGAATTAACTGTCTGTAGAATAATCTTGTTTATTGTACGGGTCTTATGTGACAACCCGTGCTTTTTTCATTTACTTATTGGCACGGGATTGTTACGTCAGACACCGTACAATAAGATAGTTATTGTATGGTATGTTGAATAACCCAGTTACACACACGGGTTCATATTTAATCCCGTGCCTTCGGCATGGAATATGAACCCGTGTGTAACTGGGTTATTCATTACATACCCATACAATAACTATAATCTATAGATTAATTACCTATGAACTAAGATGTGTTTGTTTGCAGACTTATCTGGCACCTTACTATGATCCAAGGACACGGAAATTGTGTGATTAAACCAAATCGCACTAAATCGCATAATTTTACATCATATTTATATTTTCAGATTAAAAATTGCGTATTAATTTATTCTCCGATTAAAAAATTGCATATTAATTTGCTAGTTGAGCGCAGTATTTAAAAATTGAAAGTTTTTTTTTTTTATTATAAAGTTTACTAATACTACAGTAAATTTCATAAAAACCAGATATATATAAGGCCATATAAAATTAATTTTTTTAAAAATGTCCCGGCGACCCGGCTTTTGATTTTATTTTCAAAAAATTATATATATAAAAAACAAAATTTTTTTTACAAAAATTTAAAAAAGTTCACCCGGATAATAAATATGGGGGGTGCCAGTAGAAACCAAGCAAATTGTTTTTAGTGTTTTTTTTAAAAATTTTAAATCAAAATACTCAACTACTATTAAACTAAACTTGATAAAATTTTTTTTATTTTAATTCTATGACTGCATAAATTAAAATAAAAATTTTTTTATCAAGTTTGGTTTGTTGAGATATTTTATTTTAAAGGTTTAAAAAAATTTTTTCAAATTTTGTTGAATTTGACCCGAGAACCAATTAATTAAGTTTGTATAAATAAATCAATATCTAGATATTCAAAAAAAATTAATATTTTGTAATCAGAAGATTTTAATAAATAATCTTTAAATACAGTTAGGGGTGAGGGTTAGGTTAGGGTTAGGCGTTTTAACGAAAAGATTCTAACTCAAAATTTGGTGAGGAATTTTTTTTGTTAGTACGTAAGTGAGAACAGAATTTATGTTGATTCGGAATTTAAGGTTAAAGTTGGGATTTTTAGTATATAGATTCCGTTTTAATTTAAATGGATTCCGAACCTATTATGATTCCATTACATATATATATACTGTATATTAATTTAATACTGCTTTTCAAATTTACGGTTATTTTTTTTATTGCTAATTTATTAAAGGTTAAGGTTAAGTGGTTTCTCAAATTTCGAATGATGTTCTGAATTTTTTTAGCAATAATCATTTTCGATGAATATAAATAACATTAAATTTATACTATCTCTACAAGTCTGACCAATCAAATTACAATTGTTGATCTAAGATTTAGCCGACGATTTAGTCGGTCGACGCTAGTCTATTTTTGAATTATTAGCGAAATGATTTATCATGATCAGTAGCCTTCGGGCTAAAATTCGCCGTTTCTCATTTCACGAGTTCCTAAAAGAGGTATTTGACGCTTCTGATTGGTCAATATTACGTATAATTGGTGTAATTCGATCTCTATTTATCTGTTATATTTGTTATCAAAGAAGCCCATAATTTTTTTTTTTTTTTGTAAAATTAATTCAATTAGATATTTTTATTATAAATAGTTATTAGAAATGTCGAGAAACCTTCATGTTGCCAGTGAAATGGCCGAAGATAATCTTTATTCTGATGTTTCTCCTGAAGATCTCGAATGGACTTTGGCGGCTGGTGCCTCTACCGAAACTCAGACGTTTTATCTGGTAACCAAAGAAGGCCATTTTGCATTTGTCCAAATGATTCACTCCAACATTGGGTATGTGAATATCTGAATCGTTGGTTAAATTGTTTAAAACCATCAATAATTCAAAATAAAATAAAACGGTTGCTTATAGCTTGTGGAGTCCAACAATTCAATTTACCGCACGTTTCTTTGGGGCAGGAATTAATACTTTTAAATCAGTCAATATGTCCAATTTTAAATTATCACCAGATCGACGTTCAGCTCAGGCAGATAATATGTCCATCATTCTCAATCCTGAATGTAATAAATATACAGTTACTCTTAAACATGATAAAGAGTTAATTGTCTCTTTCGAATTTGAACGGGTGGATCGTGGATTTAAAATTGGAGAAGGCAAGACTTATTTCGGACAAGACAAGTCAACAGGGTTTGTTGAGCATAAATTTTGGCCAAAAGGCAATGTTAAAGGAAACATTGTTGTCGATGGCAAAGCTTTTGATATTACAGGAGTTGGGTTATTTGTTCACGCGATTCAAGGAATGAGACCACACTTGATCGCTTCTCGTTGGAATTTTGTTAGTTTTCATTCTGATATCGCTTCTTTAGCTATGTGTGAATTTGAAACCACACCTCATTACGGAAGTATAAAGGTTAATCAAGGAGGATTAATTTTAAACAATAAATTGGTAGGTGTATCGGTGAACAATGAAGCCCACTTCATGCAAACAACATTAGATAAAGAAACCGGTTATCATATCCCCAATCGAATTCGATATATATGGGAAGGACGGACTTTAGATACTGAAGAAAATTTTACAGCAAGAATAGAAATTAAACCAAAAGTTTTGATGGATAAAATTGATGTGTTAAATGAAGTTCCATATTTTTTGAAAAAAATTGTGCAAGGTAGATAAATTAAGAAAAAAACTTTTTTTTTCATGACTACGTAAACATAACTTAGTGTTATTTCTTTATTCTATTAGCATTCGTCGCCAAACCATACGTATACCAATGGTTCAACGACGCTACAGCTTATATTAAAGTTGGTGATAATGAAGAGATTTCCTACAAAGGAGAAATGTTTAGCGAAGCTACTTTTATTTCATAGTACAATCAATATCAACTAATTTTATTTATAATCTTTTTTTTTATTTTGAATGTTTACAACTTCAAATCGTTGTTTTTTTTAATGTGAAAAATATAAATTTAATAAATTATATGGCCCAACAAACACGTTAAAATAGACGCTTAAAGAAACCTCTTCTTAATTACAAATATACAATTTATAAAATTTGTTAACCTAATAATTCAGCTCTAGCATTGTCTGCGATACGTTTTGATTCTTTAGACAATTCTTCCGCAGCTGATTTTCTTTCTTCAATCATACCACTTAGCTTTTGTTTTGTCATAGGTGTATTTGTTGTAGAAGTTGTATCAACTTGATCCGAAGTGGTACAAAGACTCGTTATTCCATTAGATCTTGCACGGCTCTCAAAATGTTGGATTGCTGCAAGAAGGGTACTTAGCTCGGCTGTTGATTCATGTTGGTAAGAAAGAATAGTATATAAGTATAAGGGCATATCAGAAAAAAAAAAGATTGGTAGTTACCTGCTATGGAGGAAATTTGGCATGGATAGGAAAATGAATTTTCTCTATATATTTGTTAATTATATTCATTAATATCGGAATCACAAACACTTTTTTTTTTTTAAAAAAAAAAAAGTTGCATGAAACAAACATTTTACTAAAGATTTCGATACCACTTTTTTCAATTATATCTAATTCCGAAATTAAATCATCTAAAATCTTTGAAAAGTCTTCAGGAGGTTTATGAGCCATTGATTCAAGTCGCGAATTGAGAATATCGAACAAATATTTTGATATCAGCTATCTGATTGGCTGACAAATGGATCTATAAATTCGTAGTTGTGCTTTCACAATTCAAAAAAAATGCTACGACATATTATCGTCTTCATATCCGGAAACGGTTCTAACCTTCAAGCAATAATTGATGCAATACAGTCAGGAACTCTTGAATGTAAAATTGACTTGGTAGTTTCTAACAAACAATCCGCTTACGGCTTAACACGTGCCGAAAAGGCAGGAATTCCTACACTTGTTTTTCCTTTGAAACCTTATAAAGACGCCGGAAAAACTCGTATAGAATATGACGTAGATTTGGCTAATAAAGTTAGAGAATATAATCCTGATTTAATCGTTCTTGCAGGGTGGATGCTTGTATTATCAAAAGAATTCATAGAACATTTTAATGATAATATCATTAACTTGCATCCGGCCCTGCCAGATCAATTTGATGGAGTAAATGCCATCGAACGAGCTTACGAGGCATTTAAGAAGGGAGAAATCACAAAAACAGGGGTTATGGTTCATAAAGTAATTCCAGAGGTTGACAAGGGGGTGCCATTAATGGTTGAAGAAGTGCCGATATTTGAATCGGATACATTGGAGAGTTTAGAGGAACGAATTCACTCAGCAGAACATAGAGTAATTGTTCAGAGTATCAAAAAATTTTTAAAAATTTGAACTCTTAATTTAGTGATTAGATATTTGAACATTGTAATCATTAAACGTTAACAACATTTATAGTTGTGCTAAGGTAATATCCACAATCACTTTATATAGAATAAAGGTCATTGAAGATAAACTAAATTTGTCATCTCAATAGCATGCTATTGTTCTTTGCTTACTGTATTAGGAACCCGCGCGAGCTTGATAAAATAATTTTTATAAAATAATGCTTTGGCTGCATTTTATTTTAATACGTTTGGTTCGTAAATTTACTATGTTTTGAAATTGTTTCAATTTCGGCCCAGGCTCGCGTAGGTTCTTAAGGACTCACATCTGACGCAATTAAAAAAAATGAACGATTCTAATCTCGTGTGGCTGACAAGTTATTAAAAATTTAACCATTTAATATCTCACATAAGCTCATATGTAAGATTAGTAAAGAAAGCACAACTCTAATTTTATCCGTTGTGTTTCATTACGAAAAAAAAAGAAAGAGAAGAAAAACGTAAATTCGTATGAACATCTAATTATTATAGGCATCTTCTATATCTTTTCCTACAAATCTATATTATAAACAACATTCGGCCACGAAGATAGATATTTTACATCGATAGAGCAGTAGTGAAAACTAACCTTATATGCGTACACCTTATATTTTCCTCTTATAAAATGTAACTCAAATTTTCTTCCTCATGTAGAGGGCGAGCCTATATATACGATCAGATTTTTGAATGAAATATTTGTAATGTTGATGCTAAATATAATATAAAATTTATACTATCCTCCAAAAGTTTAAACGTTACAAGTTTTTGAATCCGTTGATTTTTGTTTCCCACTTTCGATATACACAAGTTCATTCATCTCTGTTCTTAAGTGCGCGAATCAAATTTGACTGGCATTAAACATAAGAAGCCTTGGTTAAATAATCCCGAATAATTAAATCTTTGCTGTCTCTTTTCGACCAATTTTTTGAAAGGTAGCCAAGAATTCGTGTACACAACAGATTGCTGATGGTTACTTGATCTAAAATCACTAGTAATGAAATCCTCATTAATTAGCTTACGGAACTCTGGTTAAATTTTGTGCTAGATAAAAATAAAATAGTGGGTTCATGCAAACAATCACATACCTCATAATTGTATAATTCAAAGCGGTGAAATATTTCGAACTTTAATAAGTAACTCATCCACAACATTAGTTATAATCATTATTACCAAACCATTTTCTTAATGATCTTTTGAATTTCCATTATCATGGAAGGCCCATGTTGCTCTTCTCGTTACAAGACAATAATATTTTGACGATTGTTTCTTCAAAGTGACAGAATGTTTCTTTATAAAGCATAGGAATAAAATAGTCAGATCCTAAACTAAAAGGCGACGGCCGTTCCTATTATACGAATCCAAATTATATAAGAATTAAGGAAGTTTAAGTGTTAACTCTTTTTAAGTTTATCGGTTTAGTTAACTAACCATCAAGTGATTATACTTCTGGTTTGACTTTTTTATGCGTGTAACTTAGAAGTTTTCAAGATAATAGAGACACACCATTGATAAAAAAAACGACAAAAAATTTTTATTCTAAAAAAATCCATACCAAAAAAAGAGGCCCTACTAGAAACCATCTCAAAGGTATCTAGAATAAATGGTATGGAAAAAAATGCGAGAGGCTGTGGTTTGAGAGATCAATTTTCCTAGAGAAAATGATCATATAGTCTGCATTTATAGTAAATTTCATCGGCATCCCTTTTGGGGCTTCAGATAGGTAATTATAACGCACGATATTGCTACAGGTTTTTTCTTTTTCCAAATTAAATACGGCACGACTTAAAACTAATATACGAGCACAAGCAATACCTTTTTTTATTATCTGTAACAGGGGATATGAAAAATACAATATCAAATGCCAGTCTTGCGTTTCTAAATAATACCACACGAGGCGGAAACAACTTATGTCAGATGCGGTTGATATATATTCTGAGAGAACGCGTATTTTACAATCAGCATAATAATGTAATATACACTTTATACTATATAAGTAGAAGGTCATTGAATTTCGTGAGCATGGTAAGTGTTTATTTTTGTGTGACATAGATTACTATATTTAGAGCGTTAGATTTCGTACATATAAATTGTAACTGGAGTTTTTACAATTCTTTTCGTTATGATTCATTCTCAAATTTTTCTTTTAAATAACGTTTTCAAATAAAATTCATTTTAAAAAAAATACAATTTTCGGGATAATGAACCTAGAACTACGAAGTAAGTTGGTTTATTTTATCGTATACTTACTTCAATACGATAGTCGTGCTTTGGCTAATCACTACTTACTTCTCGGATCTTTAAACACGCAGGTCCTTTCGATTTAGACTACCCCTCAAAATACGAATCATCCGTTAGAGATGGACCCGTTCGCTGTATTAGTTTCAATAAACGAGGCACAATGTTAGCGGGCGGTTGTAGTGATGGCTACTGTATAGTTTGGGATTTTCAATCGATGAGCGTGATTCGAAAAATGAAGAGCCATGTCGCCTCGATAACCAGCGTAAGGTAATTTTTTCACACTTCGCGCAATAAAACCATTCGTAAGTTAACTGATTAATTTTTCGATTTATCAATAACAATTTTTTTTTTACAATAGCTGGTCACGTAACGGTCTCTGTATACTTTCGTGCGGAGAAGATAACAAATGCGTCTATTGGGATCTAAAGAAAGGAACCCAAAAATGGATACGTTTCGATAGTAACGTAATTATGGCACAAATGCACCCGAAAAATAAGTTAGTAAATATCTACTACTTGTTTTTTTTTTTTTTTTTATCTTTTTTATAAGAAAAATTCATTTAAGTATTTCATATAATTTTTGTTTATCAATAATAGTTTTGTATTTGTCGCCTCATTATCACAAGGACCACCGGTTATTGTGGAAATAGGTGATACAATAAAGCAATATCCCTTGCCGACAAACGCAGATACATCGTCTGACACGAGTATTAACGGCGAAGAATCGAATAATTCGATAAAGTATGGAATACTTCCAAAACTCTCCTGTTCTATTTAACATACTTGTCAAAAAGGTCGGATGAAACTTACTTGTTACTGATGATAGGCAATAATAATCCGCTCTATAGTAAAACAGTTGTTTGTCGATATGACAAACGAGGCACACGTATTCTCTCGGGGACTAGTAAAGGATACTTGAATGTAATCGATCCCGAAACTCGAAAGGTAGTTAGTTTGTAAACAATTATCCTATTATGTTTTCCTTTTTTTTTATTTTTGTTATTTATTTATTTATTTTTCTTACTTTTTTTAGATATTACACAATCCCAAAATCAGCAACTCTGCGATAAAAGATATAATTGTCAGCCGTAACGGCAAGTACGTACAGGCTCACAGCTTCCACCATTTATACGATTATAATTTATATACTTTATTCTTCTTTTTTAGTGATGATTTCTTTATTTTATCTTAATAGGGATGTAGTCGTACACACTCAGGACAAAACGATTCGCCTTTATTGGTTGGATGAACAAGGAATACATAATTCAGAGCTGCAATTTGCAGAAACGGTCAATAAGAATAGTTGGAATCAATGCTGTTTTAGCCAAGGAGGAGAATATGTAATTGGAGGTTAGTATATTATTATCGTAATATTTGAATTTACAAATATTGACTATCCACCTTATATAATTTATTTCAAGGTTCTGCTAAACTAGCAACGCACCAAATATTCATATGGGACATAAGAACTACTAGACTTGTCCAAACGCTGCAGGGACCATATGAAAACCTTGTAGACCTTGCCCAACACCCCATTCAACCAATTATTGTATCAGTGGACGAACAAGGGGCGATGCATACGTGGACAACGCGACACAAAGAAGATTGGGTTAACTGGGATCCCGCCTTTACAGAAATCCATGATAATATAGTATATGAGGAAAGAGAAGATGAATTTGATATTGTAAACGAAGAAGTCCAGGACGTACAATATAATAAAAACAAAAATTTTGAAGATGAAGATGAAGAAATTGATGTTGTGACAATTGATAGAACAACACGGTCAGACTCATCTGATTATGAAGACGAATTTATTAATCTATATGATTCCGAGGTTGACTATAACAATAACAGCATCAATGCATAGGGTTTACCTGGTCACGTGTTGGGTCATTCTTTTTGTCCAATAATGTAACATAAAAACTATTACAATTCGAAAACTACATATAAGCTTTTTTTTTTTTTTTTAATAACTAATTTTTGTGCATTAAAGTAACTTTGATTGTAGTAACGACCTTACTCGTAAATTCACGATAAATAGATAATATTTTATTAATCAGCTTAGCTGTTGAATTTGAACGAAAAAAGCTCTATCTTGATTGTCTCAAGACCATTATCGACAGTCTTTGGAGAATAATAAATAATTCGTAAATAGTCCAATTATTTCATATTAGTGCTGAAATTTTTAAAATGGCTTTTTTTAAAAGTTAATAAAAGCTTATAAGGGTTTAAACATAAATACCTAGCTTGATGGATTATATTATAAGTTATCCAAAAATACATATTAATTGCGCCTCCCGGCGTCCCTAGAAGGGGTTTAAAAAAAAAAAAAAAAAATACTGTTTTTTTTTACAATTGCAATTTTTTTTTTTTTTTTACGTATATATTTGATATTTTCAGCTGCACGCACTATTAAAAATATAAAAATTGCTATATATTGTACAGTCGATACTGTCTAAATGCATACGTCTAAATCAGTGTTGGCTTGACCAGACCAGTTTGACCATTGGACCAGACCAATTTGACCAATTTGACCGGTCCGGTCAAAGGATCTGTACTGGTCAAATTGGTCAAATAGTATATTTAAATATAGTTTATTATATAATGTATATATATATTTATATAATTGATTTGACCAATTTGACCAGTTCGACCATTTGACCAATTTGACCAGACCAATTGGACCAGTAAAATTTTGGTCGACCACTAATTTGCCCAACACTGGTCTAAATGTATAATTTTTAAAGAAATTTATTAGTATATAATATGCATTTAGACAGTTGATTTCTGGTATTTGATTGGTTAATACTGTATAAATGCATATGCACAGTATCGACTGTATATGTAAAAAGGTCAAATCATTAATTTTCCGGAGCGTAGCGGAGAACGCTCAATTTCTATGCAAAGTAATGCAAAAATTACGTTTTTGATACTTCAAAAATATCATTCTTGACACTTCCATAGTAAAATATCAAAAACGTAGTTTTGAATTTTCTATCTGTCTCCACTTGCATATTTGTGTAACACACCAAATCCCATGCGATTTCGCTCCGGACTTATAACGGTTTCCGTTTCCTAGTTTATGACAACTACAAGTCACTCTCGTTATAGTATAGTTAAGATAAATTCAAAACCAGTTTATATAAAAATCCTGTGAATAATGAATGACTTTTTTACTCGAGATACAATTATTTATTAAGAAAATGGGATCGTCTTTTAATTTAAATGTGAGCGTTGTAACTAAGCCAGAATAGTTTCAACATTTTATACACATCAAAAATCATAAATCTCATATTCCTATCAACAAAGTTATACGTTTAAATTGAAAGTGACCTTCGAGCATATTCTTTCAGAGTTATTGCATCATTTGTAAATGATCTGGTACGGGCGAACCCAAGATGATATTTCTGACGTAGAAGCAGAAAATATTACTGCAATGACCATGTACGAATGGTGTACCAATATCAAATGAACTGTGCGGGATTATCTTTTGTCAATATATGTGCTTTGCTGTTTCTACTTAATAATTGCCATTTCTAAAAATATCGCTGCGTATTTATAAAACTCATGATAAATATACATGACTTTATTGTATAATTATTTGATTGGTTAATATTAATTGCTATATGTGCATTAACATCATACTCATCATATCTAAAGAGATGATTCTTCAGTGGAATTTTTATTGGAATTACTGGAATATTAGAAATTCTGAAAGTTCCACACCAAAGATTACTCACCTTTATGCACGAATTCTAATGTCATTGCTATTTCCCTTATATCTCTCTAAATTACTTCAGTCCATCACCATTCCTTAAATAAGAGTAAAAATTTGAGCCTTCAAAGCAGAATTAAATCCGTTTAACTGCTAACATATTCAACCATCCTTTTGCCTGTTTCGTGAATTTTGCAGATTGCGCGGAAGGACGACGTGCTTCAGTTTCAATTTCGCGTTGAGTTTTAAATATTGAAGTGACTCTGAAAAATAAGAATGGAATGTTAAATAGCGTCTGAGCAAATTTACTGTTTCTATGATATAACATGTAAAAAACCAAGAGTTAATGTATCTACAGCATCTTTTCTAAGTTGCACGACTACTACTGTCGTAATTCTTAGAACTTCGTCTGATTGGTTGATAATCGGTCCCACGGAGATCAATCATATGATAATTTTTACGCGTAGACAATTTTTACGCGTATAAATATTTGTTTGAACTGATTTCTTTGAAGACATACCTTCTCAAACGTACAGTATTTTCCGTTTATTATTCATTTGAGTTTTGTCTTTAGTGAACATTATCGTTAATATCGTTAATACTGTTTATTGTTTTTTTTCTCTTTATACCAGAAGCTCCACTAAACATTTTCTTGTTAAATATTGTAAGTATATCATCAATATTTTATTGGTTTGAAATTCGAGTTTGAAAAATAATTAAAAACAATTCAAAATATATTTTTTAGGACTCCACCTGATGCCTGCCTGCAGAAATAAGGTAATGTATATCTGGCGGAGAAAAAATGGCATCGGGCTCATTTTCGAGTATTTGGTATTCATGATTTTTGTAAAACTGAGTTTTTTCTCCTGCACAAGTCCACTGATTCTGAAGGAAGGGTTAGATGTTCCTTGTTGCGGTAAAAAGTTTTGCAAAAGATTGGAAATTATTTACAAGAAAGTGAGTCTATTTTTACTTACCTAAACACCTATCAGAAAACCTATTGAAGTTTGAAATTTGGGATAACACAAATAACGATCCAGCCTCGTTTGTGGGCTTTTGATCCTGCCGGTCCTCGACGTCGCGGTTCTCTACGTGGCTTATGCTGCAGGGGGGTTCTTGGTCTCTTACACCTAAATGAGACACGAGTGTGGGTACGACATCCTCAAGTTTCGTACCGTCCTATTCCCGAGGTCCTCAACGGGATATAGTTCCTTTCCTTATTTCCGAGGTTCCAAGGTCTTAAGGTTCCAAGGTTTTAAGGTTTTGACGCTATAGTTGGATTCTGGCGTCATGTAAAAAACTATCCGAGGTTTTGTAATTTTTTTTTAGGGTCCTAAGTTGGTTGGATTCTTGGTCTTTAGACTTTGAAATCGCTGGTTCGATTCCAGCAAGGGCAATCTTTTTTTTTAAGGCCTTAAGTCGGTTGGATTCTTAGTCTTATGATCTTTTATGATTTTGATTTTGTTCGATTTAATAACGATTGATAATATCTTTTTTTTAGGCTCAGTAATTTTATTATTAAGGCTATATAAAGTGTTTTTTTTGATTCTCATAACATTAAATTTTGTTTTGACTCACCAACCTGGATTTTTATTTTTAAAAATAGTGATCAGATACCGGGTGAAAATTTTCTAATGAAAACTAAAGACGTTCTCAAACCCAATAAATAAAACACGTAACAAAATCTAATTAGCGTGAAGTAGTTTAACTGATCGAGAGATTTATCATTTTCATTGACTGAGTAGAAAAAATAATCGTTAAGTACTTCATCTATTATGGATCTTCAAAATCATCAGATTACTTGCTTATATCGAAATCTTTGCCGCAAATAAAAAAGGCAGAAAGATTTATTTTCAATATTTTTGTTTATCAGCCGCTATAGGATTCAGAAAAAGGTTGAGCTAGAAGTTTTTGGTGATTTGTAAGGGTATTAAAATTGTTAAGGTCGATATCCTTTTTTTTTTGTAAAGTTTGAATAAGACATAGAATCATTGTAAATGGTACTTTATCCTTTGCCGACTCAACTTTCATTCGACCTTGTGAAAATATATGTAATAATCGTTAAATGGAGACGTTTATTCGTGCACTAATTGCATCAATAATCTATCAAATTGTAAATTAGAAAATATTTAGATCGCGTATTTATTATGGAACACAAAATGTTTAATAATGTAAAAGTTTTTTGCCACTCTCGATAAACGTAGTACCTCAGGCACATAGTGAGGAATTTTTTAAAATCCGCTTTATCGTGAGTTTTATTAGTAAATCCATTATGTCAAATATATAGTATTTATTATGATGTGGATCTGAATCTTGATCCATTTTACTTATATCGAGAGTGACGTGTACATATTCGAATAAAAATACACTAATTTATTAAATAAAATCCTAATATTAACGCTACTTCAAATAAAAATTTAGAACTTTAGTTGTAATTATTATATGTTCAAAAGATAATGCAAGAATTTATAAACCCTATCATTAAAAATCTGTAAATTGTACTTTGGTAATACTATAGAACTCTAGTATGTATCGGATCATTTCATAAAAAAAAAGACCGTTATTATAGATGATTGTTATGCTACATAACGTTAGTAGATGAAAAATCAAAGCCAAGCATAAACCAGATGAGCATATTCTAATTTAAAGAAAAAAAGAGATCAATGTTTAATATAACGATAAATTACGATTCCCGTGTTCTAAGAAAATGAATTACTTTATCACATTTTGGAGGTTACATTTATTTAGTTTTCGGCATAGAGTAGAATCAAAACTCTCAGAATTACAAGGTACAAATAAGCGGGATGGTAATTTATAATAAGCTCCGCGCACACAATGCTACGCATTAACCTGGCAGCTAGTTAGTATACAGGATTACACTGTAATATCGATATATATATATGACTGTATATCAACTAATCAATCAAAACTAAATCGATATTTCTGTATCGATCTCGTGTAGTTTAATACCATTGCAATTTAATTTTTAAAAAAATTAATTTACAAATTATACTCAGGTAAGCTTTAAAGAGCTTTATTATATCTATTTAACTTATTATATGTACAGTACGACCTTATATATATATATATATTAATTTAGGGTTCCATTAGATAAATAGGTATACAATAAGCATAATATGGTTAATTGAGTAATAACATTTCTTTTAGACAGTATTGAGCAACTGTCGTGATTGGACATAAAAAATTTTATATATCCAAATTTTCTCTAAATTATTTGGCATATGTCCAAGGTCAACACTGTTTGTCTCGGTCCAGACACACTGTCAAGTGAAGCATGTTGATATCGAGAAAGAGATATGTGTTTCATCGTAAATGTTGTAATAAAAAGGAAACAAACCCGGATCTTCTTTAGTATAGGTGAACATATGGAATTATTATAAAATTATAATAATATAAGACTTATACGTAAAAACCACTCATTTTGAGCTAATTTAAACTCTAATCCTCACATTAACCCTAACTATTTATAAAATTGCTTAATTTAGATTAATATATATATATATATATATACATATATAATTTTTATATATTATAATTTTATATGCCTACCTATACTAAAGATCAACCGGAAACCAATCTTTTTCGGAGGAAACAAGTTCGACCACGATGTTCGTTGATCTTCCACGATGAAGGGATCGGTTCACTATCGGTTCATATAATTTGATCTGATGAGCTTAATAGATGATGTGATGATTATTCTTTTTTCAATTAGATGGTATACAGTTAGAACGTTGATAACACAATCATGTATTCTATGATATAGTCAAAATTTTATTACCGTAAAGCGCTGCATATACAGTACCCCCTGGAATAGTATCCCCCCTTTTTTTGACAAGCGATTTGTGGCCCAACTTTCATAATTAATATGCGAACTTTTTATTGGATTTGATATATCTAATAGCAAGATCAGTAACGATTATTTGTATTACCCCATCTCTCAATAATTATTCAATCTAGGCCGGCTTTTTTGAAAAAAATCGGGGTACTGTATGCAGCGCTTTACGGTAAATTTTTTTGAAAGAGTAAGTTAAATTGTTATTTATTGCATACACTTTTATTTCATTTAAAGAATATATTAGTTATTGCGTACTTTATTCATTAAATATATTCCTTTATTTATTTATAAGTTTAAAAATCTCATACAATCAAAGAATAACAAACTTAATGTATATTGACTAAAGACATTGCAACAAGCGATTATATATGTTAAGTTTTGATTTAAAAATGCAGTGGTAATGATATGTGCGAGTTGTAACCGCTCGCCTTGATGAATATATAACTCCCAAAAAAGATATAATCGAGTTGATTTCTTCTAATAGATAAAGTAACGTTCAAAAGATTGGTGAATGGGATTCAACTTAGTATTTTCAATGATGTGGCTAGATATAACCAGATAATGTTTAAAGCGCAACTATACATGATGGTTGTATGTAATTATGAAACTTTTACAAAAGAATTTTTAAGTTAAATGATATATTATGATCTAACGCTAATACAAATAAATTTTATTTAATTAACAAGTTTAAAAGCTATATAGAATTTAGACTAGTAAGATGTAATCTTATGTATGGACTAACTCAAAACGCAATGACGAATGTTTGATCATATTTCAATATGATGTAATTATAAAAGAACTACACCATTTATATTATATACTATATATAAAATTATTTATGCTTATTTGACAAATTATATCGAGATTCCAGAGTGATGTCACTATTCAGTTCTTAGAACTTCTAAGACCGCGAAAATGTGTTGCGTCGATCGACTGGTATATATATAAATAAAAAAATAAAAAAATCTTTTCACTGCATATTACACGTCACGCGCTATCCATATAACTCATTATGACTTTTAAAACTAGTTACGGAGCTTCCAAAGTAAGTTAATCAGTATTCTATTCTTTTTACGTACATGCAAGACTCAAAATAATTTTTTCAAAAAAGGGATGTTTTATTAATTTTTATATAAATCGAAAATAAATCAATTCTAATATGAAAAATAACAATTTATTATAAAAAATACGAATTCTTGTTATTAATATTAAAATATTTTAAATATTAAATGCCATTAGACTACCATAGTAAGTTTCAAATTTTAGAAAATAACTTAGTACACTAATGCGGCTCTATATGATATTATTAAGCAAACTTGTAATCACTAGTGTATTACAGAATCTTTTATATAAAAATGAAATTACTAAATTCTTTTTATTCTTTATTAACATATCGATAAAATTACGTGTAAAATGTTTGTTTTTTATTAATGTAATGTAAATTTTGGAATGCAAGAATACAAGAATATACATAGCAAGAACCTTTACTATGTAACTTTAAATCATCAATATATGCCATTAATTTGTCACTATATATATATAATCCAGTGCACCGATAAAATCAATAACGCATACTTAAATTCATTCGTATACACACATCTATATTACCATTTCAATCCTTTATATAACCTCAATAATAGAGATACGCCATAAACCCGACCCAAATATAAAGTACATTAAATGTTCAGACTTTATCGACTATAACTATTATATAATCAGTCAATGTAGATTATTTATTTCACTCGAGGTTTACGCATTTTTCTTATTTCTCTACCATCAATATTACTTGGTTGTGAACTTTTAATGTTCGTTCCGTTCTGGAAAAGTTGACCATTATTACCGTTTATATTCATAAAACTATTAGAACTATTATTAATTGTGCTAAAAGTTGTTGGCGTCTCTGGCTGATTGAGGTTTAATCCAAAGCTATTACCAAAGGTCACTGGTGTGGATGGAGGTTGTGATGAAAAGCTCGATTGAAAATTGAAAGTATTTGAAGTTGACCCATTAGTTGTAAACATGGGTTCAGTGGGTACACTAGGAATCTCTTGATTAAATTTAAATACTGATGACGTCGGTGCAGGCTGGATGGAAGGAATATTTGGTTTATCTATTTGAAAATCAAATGTACTCTCCGCGGGTATCATCATCCTACTGGAATCTGACCCCTCAAAAGATCCTGTTTTTGGAATTGACATTAAATTACGACCTTCATTACCACCTCCCATCTTGTAACCAGGTTTTCGATTTTTCCCGCGATAACTTGATGACCTGCCATATTTAGGCATATTGCTCGATGTCACTTCTGTTGAACTATTATCAACAGAGAATAAAGCACTTCCTAACTCAAAATTTTGAGGGTTAAACAGCATCTGCGTATGAAAAGTTGGAAATGATAACCCAGAAGCTTGATTGTTTAAATTACTATTACCCATTTCAATTTCAATGTCCATTGGTGAACCAGATGGAGGACTTGAAGCTAAAGTTGGTACTTGAGAACTGGGTGAATAAAATCCGCCGAAAACTTTATTGTCTTCCTTAACTTCCTTCTCTTCGTTCACTTGCTCATCTTTAATTTCTTTACTTTTTTTGTTTTCTTCGATTTCTTGGACTTGTTTATTTTCATTTTCTTTAATTTCATTCTCTCCTTGAATTACCTCTACCTCTTTATCTTTTTTATCCTTATTTTCTTTATCCTCATCTTTATTTTCTTTCTCTTCATCCTTATTTTCTTTCTCTTCATCCTTATTTTCTTTCTCTTCATCCTTATTTTCTTTCTCTTCATCCTTATTTTCTTTCTCTGCTTTACTTTCCTTTTCCTTTTCTTCCTCCTTATCTTTCTCGTCTTTGCTTCCTTCCACACTCGTTATTGTATAAGGTTCGGGCTCAGGTTGAACTTCAATGAGTTCCGTCTTTTCGGTTTCAGCCTTTTCGGTTTCGGCTTTTTCGGTTTCAGCTTTTTCGGTTTCAATATTAACAACAGTTGGTTCAGTAACATTGGAGATTTCCTCTTGTTTCTTTTCAGGTTTGTCAACACTGACCGATAAGATATCTTTTGAAATAAGTGGTGTGGAAGCAGAAACAGTGTTATCTGATATACTTGCAGAAAAATCAATTTTCCTCCTTGTTTCACTATAGTATTGTTCATTTTTCATTTTGTGATCGACAATTTGAGCGAATCTCGGCAGTGTCAAAGGGGTAGTACTAAGTTCTTCAACATCATTATTCAAGTATTTTTCAGAATCATCTGGCTTAGAAACAGGAGGGGGCAAGGAACTAACAGTAAGAACCTTTGGCAAATTGTCATCAGATGAAATATTTTGATTTTTTGATGTCGAACTTGCAGGAATGGACACCTTCTTCTCTGAAGGATGATAGTTAAACCAATTTACATCTGGAACAAGATCTGATTTAAATTTCTTAAGAGGTGGTCCTTGAGATAAAGACTTTTTACTTATGTCCTGTTCTTGTGAAGGTGTTGATGTTCCCGATGAAGAAGTTGAAAATGAATCATTAACAGCTAAATTCTTGAAAGGTTTATACCAATCTGCTGGTATTTCAGGGGATAATTCTTTATCTGATAATGAATCATTTATCTCATCTGGATAAAGTAGATCCTCTTCTCGTGCTGAAACATGATTACCCCTTTTCCTAGGAATAATAGTTCCTCGCCTGTGCAGAGGATTTGAGTACATCCTACGACCAAATCTTGCGGCAATTTTTGAATTTGATCTGTTAAATTTGCTTTTTAAATTCATTTTTGTTATTGTATCCAATTGTGATGGTTGGTAAGGTTCTTCACGCTTCACCATTGCATTGTTTAGTTCTTCTATAGAACTTTGCACAATATTTTCTGCAATCGTTTCATTTTCAGCTGTTATTTCCATAGATGTATCTTCAGTGTTGGGAGTGGTGAGTGTTGCAGTGGGCCATATAATTGCTCTCAACCACTGCGGAATATATTTTTTGACAACGCTCAATAGCCAATGAGTTTCTTGAGGGTTCGGATTAGGTGAACTAGCAGCTCGCGTATACGGCGTATTTGTATGATTACGTTTTTTGCGGTGCCTAATCGGGCCTCCTGCAAAAGATGCTGGCTCAGAACTTTCCTCAAAAGCAGTTATATTAGGAGTTGGAAGCTGGAAACTATACGGTTCACCCCTTTTGAGAGTATTTGCATTTCCAGGATCTGCCATGTTTATAATAATTGTTAAAAGGTCAAAGATTGCGATAAAGAATATTTATACGTAATGCAGATCGTCGCCCCTGTTTTTATATACCCCTGCATATCTTAGTGTTGCTAAGTAAATATTTTATTTAAAAAAACAAATATATATTTAAGGCCATATAAAATTAATTGTTTGTTCATATAACCGGCCGGGCCAGCTTTTGTAAAGTTTCAATCCAAAAAGGTTTACAAGTTATTTATTATGTATGCTCGGGTGAGTTTTTGAAAAATATCCTGGCCACTATATCTGATATCGATATAAAGATCGTAGGTTATCGTTATACAGTACTGAACTATTACATGATTTTTTAGATAAATTTTTTTGTATAATTAAAAATTAAAAGCCGGCCGGGCGGATTACATTAAAACAATTAATTAACTTTATGTGGCCTAATATAGTATAAGCAATATCGATATTTTCTTTAAAGAAATGCTTTGTCACAGCGTCTTATTAATTATAATGAATATAAATATTACTATATGCCAAAGTATAATTTTAATTATTATTGTCCGGTATAGTAGGACCAGGAAATCTATTATAGGTTCCCGGACTAAGATGTTAAAATTTCGATTATCACGCGCCGTGATCTATTAAACCTCGATATAATCACCAGCTTGGAAAACAAGAATCTGGTAATTATAAAAAGTTGTGATTATATAAAGTCAAAATTTATATAATTCGGTCAAATTGATGTAGATATTCTAGATAAATTAATGTGATAAACTGGAATTATTAAACCGGTTTCGACCTCTAAGCTCGAGTTAAAAAATAGTACGTACGTACCTTTAAAAATAAAATCGCCAAGATGCCATTTATCAATAGGAATATTATAATCATTACAGATTATCACATTTACAGGAACTTTAGATCTATTAGCACTTTTAATATTATCTTGACTAGGAACGATTCCGGTAAGTTCATAACGAGAATCAGGTAAAGCAACATGATGAGTTTCCACCATTAAATCACCAAAAGCCAAGTTAAGTAAGACATTATTGAGGTTTGGTAATTCAAGATAAACTTCGACAGTAAGACGAGTACCGACACGACCACTTTTTGGAAAGAATTTTAAAGTTCTTGGACGATTGGATAAACTTGTTGTATGAGAAACGCCAGTGATGAAAGGGAAATTATGAAAAGAGACAATAGAGGGCGTTGCAGGGGTTGAAGGTATTGATGGCGTAGATGTGGAGGACATAATAGTGTTAGGATGCGGAGAAGCGATAACAGGAAGCATGTCACCCTTATTAAATTGATAATAATTCGCATTCGACTGAGATGGTGATGCGATATAAATGGAATGATGAACTGATGACGAATCGTAATAGTCGGGGACCTCTCGTGTATTTTGGATAGCTAATAATTTTTAAGGATAATCGAATCACGATATTAGAAAGAAAAACAGATGATAAGCACGCGATCACATTGTGCAATAAAATTTTAATTTTTACCTAAACTTTCCATTAATATGTATATATAAGATAGGATATATCGATTAATTATGAAAGTACTTTTCTTTACAATTTCTTGTCTATAATCGAGCACAGCTCAAAGCAAGACCAAGAAAGTATATATTCTATTATGTAAAAGTTTCTTTTTTTTTTTTTTTTTTTTTTTTTTTTTTTTTTTTTTTTTTTTTTTTTTTTTTTTTTTTTTTTTTTTTTTT